CGTTTCCATACCGGCAGAAAATGAGTCATTAATCTACTGAACTGAACTCACATCAGAGCTCGTATTGATTCGCTCTCCCTCCAGCACCATCTGAGGAATTATTAAAATGCTTCTTCACCGTCTGGCCGAAGAAACAATGATGAAATTGCGTGTGCTGTTTTTAAAATTTCGAAACCTGAGGACGAAACACTGAAAAAAACATTTTAAAAAAGAGATTGAAAAGGGAGGCCTGGCAGGATCTGTCACGAGCACATTGTGCCGTAACACACGCATTCGCACACAGGACCCGTAAGGGGTCACATGTGATGATCCGTTTCCATACCGGCAGAAAATGAGTCATTAATCTACTGAACTGAACTCACATCAGAGCTCGTATTGATTCGCTCTCCCTCCAGCACCATCTGAGGAATTATTAAAATGCTTCTTCACCGTCTGGCCGAAGAAACAATGATGAAATTGCGTGTGCTGTTTTTAAAATTTCGAAACCTGAGGACGAAACACTGAAAAAAATATTTAAAAAAAGAGATTGAAAAGGGAGAAAGAGTGTAAGAGTCGAAATCCAGCTTGGAAATGGGATACGATTCATTTCATGTTTAGCATGATTCATTTATGTTAAACCGAGCAAGTGCACAGCATCCTTAGTTGTAAAGCACCATCAAATCTGCCAAAATAATCAATGAACAAACATGCAGTGAGCAGTGAATGTGAAGAAGTTTGTGAATGACAAACATTCCAACTGTACCGAAATCCACTGAATCACTGCTGCTTTCTCTTCGAAGAAATTGCCCTTGGCGAGCAGCGTGCATTCTTCGCATCTCTTGCGATGCTTTGACAGCAGACAGATGCATGTGGCATTCTGTACAGCTTGTGTTTTGATACTAAAACTAAAGGGATAAAACCATGAGTAAAACAGTGAATCAAACAACAATTTCCAACAAATCAAAGGAACAGTTCACCCAGTTGTTTGTTCATCTGCACAGATTTGGAGAAATGTAGCATTACATCACTTGATCACCAATGGATCCTCTGCAGTGAATGGGTGCCGTCAGTCCAAACAGCTGATAAAAACATCACAATAATCCACAAGTAATCCACACCACTCCAGTCCATCAGTTAATGTCTTGTGAAGTAAAAAGCTGCATGTTTTTAATAAACAAATCCATCACGGTGTTTTAACTTTAAACTGTCACTTCTGGCCAAAATATCAGTCCATAATCCCTAATAATGCTTTCTCCAGTAAAAAAAAATAAAAAATGGTGCTTGATCTGTGCATATTTCTTTCCTGATTCAGACAAGATTACTTTTTCACTGGAGAAAGCAACAGATATGTCTTTTAGCCAGAAACATCGCTACAAGTTAAAAACATCTTGATTATGGATCTATTAGAAACTACGTGCTTGTGGATTACTTATATTATTTGTGATGTTTTATCATCTGTTTGGACTCTCATTCTGACGGCACCCATTCAGTGCAGAGGATCCATTGGAGAGCAAGTGATACAAAGATTAATTTCTTAAAATATTTCTCAAAATTCTTCCAATGAAAGAACAATCTCATCTTGGATGACCTGAGGGTGAGCACATTTTCAGCAAATTTTAGTTTTTGGGTGAGCTATCCCTTTAAATCACTTCTGATACGATCTGAATTTGGAGGTTGTACATTAATATTTGTGCTGGAACAAGCCGAACCCAGTTTTGGCACTTCTGGAATTGGATCCAACAGCTATTTTTGTGAATGTAACACCTCATATGGCTTTAAAGGAAATACACGATAAGATCTGTACAGTCATGTTTCTTCAACTATGGGTACTTTTGTCATTTTTCTTTTCTTTTCTGGTCAACTCATTTGTCTTGCTGAGGGTAATTTCATAGCTTGCATTTATGTATCCTGAATAAACCCAATTAAATACTACTTTCACACTTTTCTGAGACACAATAAAATATTCTGTTCACAAATTATATTTAGCTTAATTTGTCTTCATTCACACATCACGTCTCAAATTTTATCTCAAACTCTTCAACTGACACTGTTGTCTTTTTGGTAAACAAGTATACAAACTATATTAGTATTAGTATTAGCAATATTAAAATATTGTTAGAGGTGTCAGCCAATCATAATTTTTATCAATTATCTAAAAATCATTTAATAAATTAAAAACTGAAATGATTTATGATTAACTATTTGTTTAAATTATATCAGTTTTATTTGTTTAGATAATTTATAAATGTCTAGATCAGTTTGTATAGATTTGTTTTAAATGTAAAAAAGTATATATATATATATATATATATATATATATG